AGTGGTTGCTGACTCTTCTTGTGTAATATAGGGAGACAAAGAGTCCTCCAAAAGCAAAAGGGGGGCTATGTAACAGCCAAAAACTGTCCTGCCCGGTCCAGGAAGCGCCGCCTTCTCCGCGCCATAGGATTTTAAAGGCTGACTTTTCAGAAGTAGATTCCCAGGCTTTTCAGAGGTACCCAGTACCCTGACTAGCAGCCTAGTACCATATTCCTTTGTACCACCCGGGTTCCCATGCCCTGCACTGTCATGTGTATTAAAAGGCTGGATCTGAGAAAGAGCTTCCTGTTAAAGATGGTATAGACATGAGCCCATTCAGTCCAGTCTCTACCACTCCCTACAGTCTTCCTGTCACAGAGGTGAATACTTGGTTGCTAATGATCATTTCTAGAGAATTTTCAATGGGTCGGGGTTTTTTTAGCAAAAGTAAATTGCATTGGGGGGGGTGCGGTAGGCTACAAAGGTAAGAAGTGACTGGCTTACAAACTTTCAAGAGGGACCCTAGATCCAGAGGGCGCGGAGGAAGGTAGAATCTCCACCAAGTAGTATCCAATCTGTCTGGGCGGGGCTGATGAAAGGAGATGGGGATAGGTCTCTTGTGATACAATAGTGAATAATTGTTATCAGGACTGACTGTGAGGGTTGGAAATGGAAAGATAGACATTTTGTAGCAAAAGGAGGGGAGTGATTGACTTTGCATTCTAGGAGCAGAGGTCCCTGGGACCATCGGGAGAAGAGCAGAGAGCGGGACCCTACCCAGAGAAGCAGTGATGCCAGAGATGGAGGCAGAGACGATGACGTAGAGAGATGGAGTGGCTGGGGACTTTAGACCCAGAGAGGGAGAGGGGCTGTGTGCTGATCACCAGGGGGCAAGCTTGCAGGGTATACCCTTTGGTTGGTTGATGATGCATGGAGAGATTGTAACCATGGTAATGAAACAATATATGACAGGATGAATGTAAAGCTAATGCTCTCCCATGTAAACTATCACATAATTCACAATAAAACATTAAAATTAAAAAAAAAGTAAATTGCCACGCCTTTCTTCCAAGATGCCTCTGGGTGAACGTGAATCACAACTTCTCAGTAAACAGCCGAGCATCACCCAAAGACTCACAGTTTAGAAGAGTGTTTGATGTTTGCTGAGTGAATGAATGAATGCAAATGAATCATCAAGTAAGAGAAAGAAAAAAAAGTCATAAAGGAACTCATAAACCAATTATAAAATGGCACCAGGAATTTGCTGCTTTGACTGTTATTTAAAGAGATTGTTCAATCCACATGATGGGTAACCTCATTCTGTCATATAAGATGCGAATTTATTATAACAGTTTGCTTTTAGTGACTGCTGAGCCTGACTCTGAAGCTGTGCTGAGTCTTTCTCCCCAAATGTGTTTTCTTATTTCATCCTCCCAGCATCTCGTCGATCGATGTTATTGTTGTCCCCATTGTAGAGATGAGAAACTGAGATTGGGAGGACTCGAGTGCTAGTAGAATGGAGGGGCCAAGGGCTGAGAGCCAACAGCCCACCTGAATTTCTCTTATCATCATGATTCATAAGGGGGCTTCAAAAAGTTCATGGAAAAATCCCATTATCTTTTAACTCATTTTCCATACACTCTTTGAAGCCCCCTCATATTTTCTGAATGAACTTAGTTAGTGCTCATGACATGAAAAATTGCCAGCTCTATGCCAGGCACCCGGCAGATATGGATGCAGGGAGACCAGGAGGTGGCAAGGGTAGAGCCAGCTCCTTGTCATCAGGGTGAAGCTGGCTGGGGTGAAGGGAGTTAAAGCCGGGCAGACAAATAGGAGCCAGCCTGGGGCAGGGGGCCTGGAATGTCAGCATCAGAAGACTTACCTGTGTGGGACTCATTCCCTCCTCTCTCCCTTAGGATGGGGTGCGTGAAGTCCAAGTTCCACCTGCCAAGAGGCAAGGTCTCAAAAACTGAGCCTGGCGGTGCCCTGCAAAACCCCATGTGCATGATGGATCCCACATCCTTGGATAAGCGGGTGAGTGGGAATGGGTGGCAGGTGGCCATTCCAACCTACCCCAATGTTGTCCTAAGAGTCCCAAGTGGGTGTGGGTATTAAGAGTGTTTGAGATGGAATGGAGCTGACCAGCTACCCACAGTGCCCTAACTCTCCAAGACACAGCTATACTGGGTGTCTGGGCAAGGAGTCACTTCTCTTTGTCCTGTGGTCCAGGCCTAGACCGATCAGCTGGGGCTCCACTAACCAGGACTGAGTGAGCCTCAGAGCAAATGGAATCAGCAGTAATGGTTTCATGGTGATACCTGTAGTAACAATTGTAGTAATAATAATAACAACAATAAGAATATTATCAATAGAAACAATAGTATGAGTAGTAAATAAGAGAAGTAGTAATACTAGTAAAAGAATTTACTTATTTTATGCATATACTGAGCTTAGTAGGAACCAAGCACTGTCTTCTCTAATCCTCACAATAACCCTATTGTAAGTAACAATTTTAATTGTACCCATTTTACAGATGAAGCACAGTGAGGGTAAATAGCTTGCCTTAGATGACAGAGTAGTAAGGAGTGGAGCCAGTATTCAAACTCAGGCCATCCAAGATCCAAAGTCCCAGCAACAGGAACAAGAATGACAGTGACAAAACTCCAATCCTAACGTTAGGAACAATAGTAGCCATGGAATAGTGGTGGTAATAGTAGCAGTTGTTGTTGTTGTTGCCACCCTGTACAGGGTTTTCAGGGAGTGAAAAGAGTAGCTGTAGCCACTGCGGTAGCAACACTAGTAATGGTAGTTGAAATAGCAATGGTGATGGGAGCAGTAACCATGGTAACAGTGGTAGTAACAATAACAACAATGAAAATACTTATGAGAATAATGGTGATGATGGTACTTATAGTAGCAGTAATAGTTGCAATCATTGTTACCATTCTTTGGATACTTACTATGTTCCAGACACTGTATCATTAATTCAGTATCATTAATTCTCACCAAAAACCATGAGATAGGAGCTATCCTACAAACACTGGACTGCAAACCACAAGGTTCATGTTTCAAGCCCACTAGTCACTTCACAGAAGAATGATGAGGTTTTCTGCTCCCCTAGAGATTTAAAGCCTCGAAACCCTATAGAGGGTTGCTATGAGTCGGAAGCGACTTGATGGCACCTAACAACAACACTGAGGATAACTAAGGCTCAGAGAGGTGAAATGATTCCTTTGGGTCACACAGCTGGAAAGCTAAGTAGAACCAGGTTTTTCTAACCCCAGAGCTGAGGCTCTTTCTGTTCTTTGGCCCTTTAATTCAATCCTTTCTCTGAGGTTGTCTAGGGGAGTACAGCCTTTGCTCACTGCCTCCAGACAGTGAACTCATTCCTTCCTGGGGTGGTCCCTTCCTGTCGGGATCACTATCCTTTACAAAGTTCATCCTCCTATTGAGGGAGGCCTGTTATCCATAATCTACATCCCAAACCTATTTTTTATCCCACCCCCAACACAACCACATCCATTGTCTGACAACAGCCTGTAGAAATTGAAGGCAAAAGTCTTATGTGAACCCTCATTCCCTTAATATACCTCCCAATCATTTCTCATCAGACATGGGTTCCTGGCCTCTCTCCATCTTGCTTTCTCTTCTTCAGCCATGATGCCTAGAACAGGGCTAATTTTAGAACTAGGAGTGTAAGTAGGATCCACTAGCTCCCTCCTCTGACAGTCAACCGCTATATTACCTAAATTCTCACACTGGTGATATCCTGAGCTGCACACACACTATACACTTGTAGGCCTGTTCCTCCCCTCCCCGGCATAGTCCTGGGCCTTTTCTATGGCAAGAGCTCTAGGTCTTCCAGTTCTCTGAGTCCTCAAGTTTGTTGTCAGCAGGTGTCAGAGGGTTTTCTCCCTCCAGTGTTTGGTTGTCCTCACTGAGAGTCAGCTTTAAGGAATGCTGTCATCAGCTACTTATGGTTCCCCTTCGGCAGGATGTAAGCTCAGCAGTTAGTATTCCTCAGAGCAAGGGTTCTGAGGTTAAATCAGTTTAGGAAACACTGGGCAAAACCAGTCTCCTTCAGGGCAGGAACCCCAGGAGCCTTTGTGAACCTTTGTCAAGAGATGTGTGAGTCTCCCCAAAACTGTGGTATCTTGGTGTAGTGCCATAAGGTCAGCACTGCATTGCGAACCACAAGGTCGGCAGTTCAGACCCACCAGCTGCTCCTCAGAAACCCTAGACAGGGTAGCTATGAGTTAGATCCAACTTAATGACACTTAACAACAACTACAGTGTGTTGTTTTTTTTAATGGTTTGTTTAAATGAATCACTACTGATTTTTCACCAAATAACACAAGCCTTCTAAGTTTGTTCGCCAACTACTTCCTCCCCTGATAGATACTTTTGTAAATGTACTATGCTGATTTTTTTAAAGCAACACATTTTTTAAAATGGCACAGTGGCTACTTACAAAAATACCTCTTGGGGAAAGGGAGCAATTGGTAAACAAATTTTGAAAATGTGTGTTATTTGGGTAAAAATACAGTAATTATGAGTGTGATGTAATGCTTTAGGTAAATTTGCTGCATAAGGCCTCTTTAAAGTGTTCTTGAGCAAAGATGTCACTTTGAGGGTTAAGGTGCGCCTGACCCAACCCATGGTATTCTCCATCACCTCACATGCATGTGAAAGTTGGACAATGAATAAGGAAGACCATAGAAGAATTGATGCATTTGAGTTATGATGTTGGAGAAGAATGTTGAAAATACCATGGAATGCTAGGAGAACAGACAGATCTGTGTTGGATGAAGTACAGCCAGAGTGTTCCTTGGAAGCCAGGATGGTTAAACTTTATTCCTCGTTCTTTGGATTTGTTATCAGGAGGAATCAATTCCTGGACAAGGACATCATGCATGGTAAAGTGGAGGGTCAACTAAAAAGAGGAAGACCCCTAACGAGATGGATTGCCACAGTGGCAGTAACAGTGGACGCAGACGTAACAGTAGTGAGGACAGTGTGAGACCCTGCAGTACTTCGTTCTGTCGTGCGTAGGGTACTTGAAGTCAGAACTAACTCAACAGCAAATAACAACAACAACAACTGAGCATGACACACAATATATTCTCCTTGACATAAAAACAGAAACAGAAACTACAGACAAAATTACAATTTCAACTGCCTGACACCCTAGAGGCATCAGCTGTTGTTAGGTAGGTGTAGATCCTGGCAAACCATTTTCATGAATTTTTAGGAACTTAGATGAGTTTTCATACACACACACACACACACACACACACACATATATATATTGTTGTTGTGAAGTGCCATTGAGTCGGTTCCAACCCATAGCAACCCTGTATAGTAGGGTTTCTGAGGAGCAGCTGGGGAACTTGAACTGCCGACCTTGCAGTTCAAATGCCTTTGCAGTCTGGCACATTAACCCACAGCGCCAGACTGTGGGTTATGTGGATATAATATATATGGAGCTCCGGTAGCGTAGTGGTTACAAATTGGGCTGCGAACTGCAAGATCAGCAGTTTGAACCTACCAGCTGTTCCATGGGAGGAAGATGAGGCTTTCTGCTCCCATAAAGATTTACAGCCTCAGAAACCCTGTACAGGGTCGCTTTGAGTCAGAACCGACTCTACAGCACTTAACAATAACATACATATATGTAGTGTGTATTCACAGAAAATATATTTGTCACTTGCAGAACTAGTTTGTCTCACATGGCAGTCTCTCCTTGAGGTCTAGTTATGTTGGTAATGAAACCCAATCTCCCTCTTAGAGGACTACTTAGAGTACCACAGTTCAGATGCTCTTTGTCCTTTGCATGAACACTTAGGTTGCTTCATACACATAATAGAGTTTTTATTCAGTGGGACATATTGATGGACCTATGGTTTCTTGTTTTTTATTGTGAACTGAGTGACAGTTTACATGGGAGAACATCAGCTTTACACCATCATTTCATTGCAATGTTTCCAGTCTCCTCCATGCATCCTTCAACAGTATTTGCTTCCATTCCCTCTGTTTTGTTTTGGTTTGGGGGGAGCTAGGGGGATGTACACAAAAACATTCAGAAATATATAAAAATTTAAACAACCAAAGGGCACATTCTGCAAGCCTGCTTCCTGGCCTCCAGCTCCAAGACCCTCTCTTTCCATGAGTCCAGAGTCCTCAGCTGCTCCTGCTTTCCATGTCGACACCTCTGCCTCCATCTGTGGTGTTGCTGCTTCTTGGATAGAGTCCCCTTCTTGGTTTGTGCTCTTCTCCCTTGACGGACCTACGGTTTCTTCAAACATACTTTGGAAAATGCTGGACCAACCCCCTCACTGTCTGCCAAAGGGAAGAGACAAGCCAGCATCTCCCAGAATGTCCAAGGCAGAAGAGACCAGATGGTGGCCTGGATTCTTGTACTGGCTCTACCCCAAGGCACTGTGTGACCTCGGGCAGGCCCCCAGCCCTCTCTGGGCCTCCTCCCATGAAACAGGGTTGGGATGAGATGTTCTTGAGTATTCTTTTCAACATAGATCTTCTGTGGTTTCGCACGCACTATCAGATTCATTCCTCCTATTTCTTCCCCACAGGGCCTTAACAGCAATGGAAACATGCCAGGGTCCTCAGAAGGTAAGTATCTGGCAAACAGGGGCAGCAGAGCCATCAATTATGCCGACGGTTAGATTTCCAATTGGGGCTTGAAAACCCCCAACTGTCCAAAGCCCCCTTAAAAATCCCCTAAATTGCCTACGTAAGTACCTCATATAGTGTTTCATGCTTCTTAAGTACTGTTTAGTAACATGAACAAAACACACTTGCTTAGACTCTCGGGTCACTCCGAGCAGGGCAGGATGCTTACTTCCATCATGAAGCAGATACCTCAGTGGGTCAGGACTGGGAACTCTGTGCTCGGATGGGAGACACCCTCCCATATGCCTCCCTTCCCAGCAGGCTCTGAGGACTTCATCGTGGTTGCCCTGTATGATTACGAGGCCATTCACCGAGAAGACCTCAGCTTCCAGAAGGGGGACCAGATGGTGGTCCTGGAGGAGTGAGTCCCCCTCCCTCTTCCCCAAGGCATGCCCACTTCCAATAGTCAATTATACACTCTTCTGTGCTTTCATTAAAGACCCTGATAGGCTGTCTTATACTAGGCTGTAAACGGCCAGTGAAGCTGGGGTTTGCTGTGAACATGGAAGGGAACTGTATCCTAATGATGCGTACACAGGCAGGGACGTTCATCTCCGTTCATCTCTGTGAAAATTTTTTCTCAGGGAAGCTTTCCTAGGGCTCCTGTGATTAGGCTTAGCTATCAATCAGGCCTAGTGAGGTGAATGCTGTCAGAAATCCTTGGATCACTGAGCTTGCCCTCTAATGGCCGTCTTCGCAGGCGAGTACAGTGTGCAGGATATGTGGGACTGGCACAGGAGTGGTCATGCTTGGTGAAACTCCTGAGGCCACTCCCTCTGACTTCAGGCCCCTGCTGAACCAGTCTTCCATGAGTAGAGGCCCCCCACTTAAGTATGACTAATAAGGTCAAGTCCTGGGAAGAAAAGTGGGACCAGAGACACAGCTGTGGCTTTGATTCCACGTGCACAATCGGGACTGTTGTAAAGCTCTCTGCCCTCCTCCTGGGGTACACACTAGGGTCCAGGGCAATCATACCCCTGCCTCTCAACCTACTGGCATCCTGGGGTGGGGTTTTTCCAGGCCAAAGACCAGGGAGCTGGCCTGTTGTCCCCTGACCCCTTCACTCTCTCCTGTCCCTCAGGTCTGGAGAGTGGTGGAAAGCCCAATCTCTGGCCACCCAGAAAGAGGGCTACATCCCAAGCAACTATGTTGCCCGTGTTAACTCTCTGGAGACAGAAGAGTAAGTATTCCATTTTCTTACTTTCCAGAAGGAAGCATGAGCAATGCCAGCCTTGTTCCTACCCCAGGGCCTTTGCACTTGCTGTCTCCCTTGCCTGGCACAATCTTCTTATGGATGTTTGCTTGGCCAGTTTCATCTCATTCTTTGGGTCTGAGAGAGGCCTTCCCTGACCATCCTGCCTAATGTGATTTTCTCTCTGTGACTCTCCCTCATGGAACACTGTTTAATTCCCTCCACACACGTCTCGCTGGTGTAAACAGCCTCGTGTATCTAATTCTCCACAGTGCATTGCCTGCCTCCCTGCCAGCATGGGAGTTCAAGAAGGCACTCTATCTTGTTTATCTAACTGTTGACCCGTGCATTTGTCTGCTGCTACATCCTCAGCACAGGCCTAGCATGCAGTAGGTGCTCAATAAATACTTATTGAATGAAGCACATGGTTATACCAAAAAGGTTCTTCTCAGAGGTGAGCCAGCCCACGCCAGCTAGTACACCCCTCATCTGAGTCACACAACAAACATATGTTGGTATCCACTCCTTGCCAGGTCCTGTACCAGACAGCAACTGTAAGGACAGTCATGCCTTTATCCTCAAAGAGCCCCTGTAACCATTCATGCGTGGCTGTAGCTTCTTCTTTGTGTCTAACTTGACTCTGAAAGCAAAAAACACTCATGCTTCGTTCATTCAGTCATCCATCTACCCAGCCATCCAAGAGGTGTTTTTTTCAGCACCTACTGTATACCTGGCCCTATTCCGAGGAGACTAAGTGAATCAGACAGGGTTCCTCCTTGTGTTCATAGAGTGGTGGGTGAGATTGACAAGGAAAATGATGGTTACACTAGAGGGCGGCAATAGATCTGATTAAGAACCAGCCAGTTAAAAAGTTGAAAAATGATGACTCCCATGGCTTTCTGGCTAGATGGCAATGTGTGACCAGAATGCTGAATGCTTGGAAGGCTGATACAAATGAAACATTTGGGCTTTTCTCCTCATGGTGCTCATGAAATCCCTTTGCACTGTGAAGTCTCCCTATTGTGGCCATGAAGAAGCCCCCTCTCTCACTGCTGACCCTGCTGTCCAGGGCACCCCCCTGCCCACCCTCAGCTTCTTGCTTCTTCTTCTAGGCTCTGTCCTGGGGCATGCCACTCTCTGTTCCCCTACTCTGGGCTCTGAATGAACGCTCACAGAATTCTGGCACCACCTCATTCCTTGGAGGAAGCACAGCTGGCATTATTCCTCAAAGGCACCATAAGTGCTAAGTGGGTACAGTTGCATGTATGCTGACTTATCATTTATGTAAAAAGGCAATAACATAAATTGGTGGTTTTCAAACTTGAGGAGGCATCAGCCTTACCTGGAAGACTAGTTAAAACACTGCTTTCTGGGCCCCCCCTCCCCAAATACCTTATTCAGAATTTGCATGTCTAGCATGTTCTCAGGTAAGGTTGATATTGCTGGTCCAGGGACCCACTTTGAGAACCACTGTCCTAAATATTCCTATCAGTCCTTTCACATGCTTTCAAAGGTTCAGTACATGTGTCTGCATTCAGAAACATCTACCAGAGGTTGCCTTCAGGAAGGACAACTGGGCCGTTTGGAATCAGGGTGGGAAGAAACATACCTCCTCCCCAGACTTCCTGCCCTCTGCCTTGAGATAGAAGAATACTTTCAAATGTTTTAAAATGCAGATCATATGGAAGGCCATAGAGCAGAGAGTGAAAAGTCTCCCTCCCGTTCCCAGCCAGCATCTTCCCTCCCAGAAGCAACCAGGGTGACCAATTGCTTGTGATACTTTCCAGGTGTTTTGTATCTATTTGAGAAAATACATGTATCCTCTCTTCTTTTGTGCAAGTGGTCGATACTATGCATACTCTATTTTGCCCTTTTTTCCTCCAGTTACCTGTTCATCTTGCAAAGGAGCCCTGGTAGCACTGTAGGATAAGCATTGGACTGCTAACTACAAGGTCGGCAGTCCAAACCCACCAGCTGATCCACAGGAGAAAGATGAGATTTTATGTTCTCATAAAGATTTACAGTCTCGGACACCCTATATAGGGTTGCTATGAGTCAGAATTTATTTGATGGCAATGGGTTTGAATTCATCTGGCTCGGAACACTGGTGGTGCTGTGGGTTAGATGTGGAACTGCTAACTGCACAGTCAGCAGTTCAAGCTCACCAGCTGCCCATCAAGAGAAAAATGAGGCTGTCTGTCTGCTCCCATAAAGACTTATAGCCTTGGAAACCCTATGTAGAGTTGTTAGAAGTCAGAGTTAACTTGATGGCAGGAGTTTTGTTTTGTTTTGTGCCTTGTAGATCATTCCATGCAGCACTTAGAGCATCCTCCTTCCTTTTTATAGTGTGCCCAACATATTGAAACCCCACCATTAATCATTCGCTTCCATCAGTGGTCGTCACTTCAGTTGCTTCCAATCTTGAGCCGCAATGCTTCTTCTTGTGTATGTGTTATTTCTGCCTTGTATGTGAAGACTGAAGTCCTGGTGTGATGCTCTGGGTTAATGCACCAGACCACAAAGCTGTTTGAACTGCAAGGTCAGTGGTTCAAGCTCACCAGCTGCTCCTCAGAAACCCTATACAGAGACACTATGGGTCGGAATCGACTCGACTGCACTCAACAACAACATAAGATTAGTGGGATAATTCACTACCAATAGAATTGCTGGCGAGGCATTTCTTACCATATGCCTCATTCATTGCTTGAATATTTTACCCTGGTTTGAATCACTTTACAAAGTGAGAGCAGAGAGGGCAGGTGGGCAACATACTGTGCTGTAATAGAGCTTAGGCTCAAGAGTTAGGCTGCCTGAGTTTGAATCCTGCCTCTACCTCTTCACAGCTGTGTGACCCCAGGAAATTGACTGGCCCTCTCTGTTCCTCAGTGTCCTCTACTAGAAAGTGGGGATAATAAACATAATGATTCTGTAAAGTTGTTGGGTGGATCATAGCAAGAACTTGATGAATGTTGGTTGTCATTCTCCTCTAGTGATAGCAATGAAGACAGGTCCAGAGTGGAGAAAGCAACTTGTTCATAGTTACACAGCAAGTTTCTAACAGGGTCAAGTCCTAATCACATCTAGTCTAGGGCTTATTTATTTATTTTCTTGTCACAACACATGAATTATTGAGATAGGTATAGATTTGGCTCCTACTGCTTAGACCTAGCCAAACTATTCCAAATATCCAGGGAGAATGAAGAAAAGATTCAGAGATGTGACCTGAGGTATAAAATTCTTTGCGATTTCACGTTTCAGTTTATAAAGTTATGCTGACTTTATATTCAATTTTGTATACCCAGATGAGAATTAACTATGAAGTTAACGAATCTTAGACCCTCACTCACATGACCTTCCAAGGTCCTGAGAAGATTCCTCCTAATAGTTGTTGTTAAATGCCATTGTGTCTGTTCTAACTCACAGCAACCCTGTATGGGGTTTCTGAGGAGCAACTGGTGAATTTGAACTGCCGACCTTGAGGTTCAAACAGACCTTGTGGTTCAGTGCTTATCCTACAGTGCCACATCTGGAGTTTTATGTTGTTTTATGAAATTTCACATGCGTTTTGGTACAGTTGGCAAAAGTAAGATTTTTAACCACAGTAGGTTCAAACCACTGTCTGTCTTTATAATGTTGTAATGTTGTTGGTATTGTTATAAAATATATATAACACAACATTGGCCAATTCAACATTTTTCATGTGTATAATTCAGTGACATCAACTGTGTTGTACAACCATTAGCAATATCCAGTAAGCAAATTGCCATCACCATCACCATCAACTCCGAGCTTTCTAAACAATGATTTCCCATTTCCTCTCTCTCCCAGCCTTGGGAACCACTAAGAAACTTTGCTCTCTATACGTTAGTTGCCTGCTCTCCATGTGTCATGTATGTGGGACCCTGTAATATTTGTCCTGTCGTGATTGACATACCTCACGCAGCATGTTTTTGAGGTTCATTAAGCTATTGCATGTACCAGGACTTCATCCCAATGTCTGTATAGTCCTCATTCTGTTTCTCCGTTCACTGTGGACACACGTTTCCGTGGTTTCCTCCTTTGGGTTAGTGTACATAGTGCTGCAGTGAACACAAGCGTCCACAAGTCTGTTCCCACCACGGCTTTCAGGTCTCTTGGGTAATAACTGAGGAGTGGAATTGCCGAGACTGTAGCCTCCTTCCATTCAGTCTTCCCTCACATTGGAGAGCATGAGGAGGGTCACTGAGCATTTTATTTTTATAATGCATTATTTTTCCTAAAGAAAGACCCCAAAATTGTATATGCTTTAGTTCCAGCTAATTGGATTCACTCTGGCAAAGTATCTTTTAAGGTAAAAATAATTGTTTTTTCTCCCAAAAGAATCTAAGTAAAAGTGCTGCTGCAGGAAGCCAGGCCTTCAGTATTCTGGTATTGTTTGCCCCTTGCCTGGGCCTCACTGTGACCATTGGTGCCCAGTGGGAATGGGTGGGGACAGGACTTGGCATCCCCAAACTTACACTCTGTGTCCCCCCACTTCCACCAGGTGGTTCTTTAAGGGCATCAGCCGTAAGGATGCAGAACGTCACCTCCTGGCCCCTGGCAATGTCTTGGGTTCCTTCATGATCCGGGACAGTGAGACCACCAAAGGTGACAGCCCTCCCCACCCTGGCTCTCCCTACCCTGCCCTCGGTGGCCTCACAGGAGTACCAAGAGGGGGTGTCAGCTGCTGATATGAACCTCTGGCAGACCTCTGAGGTCTCACTTTTGTGAATGTTCTCTTTGACCCATGCAGGCAGCTACTCTCTGTCCGTGCGAGATTACGACCCCCAGCACAGGGATACAGTGAAACATTACAAGATCCGGACCCTGGATAGTGGGGGCTACTACATTTCCCCACGAAGCACCTTCAACACCCTCCAGGAGTTGGTAGCCCACTACAAGAGTGAGTCCTGTCCCAGGGTCACAGCCCCTGGGCTGGCCTGTCTCCTGGGAATCCTAATCAAGAGGGCACCGTGGCATCTGAGGCCTGCTGAGCAATTCCTAGCCCTCTTCAGACACATAGTTGTTTGGATACTCCTTAAATCTTAAGCTTATTGAGCAGGAGAGCAGAGGTGGCTAAGATGTGGAAGTGGTTTCCCATCATGCTCTGCTCTCTTGGGAGTGTCCTGGCTGGTGGCGACCAGTTGGAGAACATTGGCCACTTGCATTGGACCAGATGGGGAGGCTTCCTCCAAAGGGGTGCCTGGGAGTTGGTACCCTCGACTGACCAGAGGCTCTCTTTCAGAGGGGAAAGATGGGCTCTGCCAGAAGTTAACAGTGCCCTGCGTGTCCTCCAAGCCCCAAAAGCCATGGGAGAAAGATGCCTGGGAGATTCCCCGAGAGTCCCTCAAAATGGAGAAGAAACTTGGAGCAGGACAATTTGGGGAAGTCTGGATGGGTAAGGACACAAGGCTAGAGTCCAAAGGGCCAAGGAGTAGAGGCAGAGATCGAGTGGGAGGTAGATGTCATTCACATCCTCCAGGAACACTCTAAGGCAATGTGGGAATGGTGGAGAGACTACCAGAGGCAGAGGGCGGGATTTGAATCCTAACCATAAAGAAGTCATTTCTCTGATAGCAAACAAATTGTCCTGCCCATGCAAACCTAGTTTGCATTTGAGGTCAGGCCTTTTAGAGTCAAGAACTTCCTGCTGGGAAACAGGAGCCCTGGACAGGGTCTCTTCCCTCCTATAACACTGAGACAGTCTACCAGTTTGAGGCTGCGATAACAGGGCGAGTGGCATCTTGGGATGATGAAAACTAGGAGTCAAGAAATGCAGCGTGCAGATTTTCTGCAGAGTTCAACATTGGCAACTGATGAAGAAGCCACTCTGAGCACCTACTGTGTGCCCAGCTCTGCACTGGGATATTGTGGGGGGCTAGAAAGGCATGTTCCATCCTTGCCTCCCTTCTCCATCCCAGTAACATGAGAACAGCAGTGCTACTGTGCAGGGTTATGGGGTAGATAGAGGCCGTGCACAGAAGTGCCTGGTCCAATGCCAGGTGAACCTCAATGTGTTCATACCCCACTGTGCTCCAAGTGAAAGTGAAGGTAGCTTACAGAGGTACAAATAATACAGCCAGACCAAATAAGTTTAAAACCCACATAGTTCAACTACATTTATTGAGAGCCTACTATAGGCCAGGCACTGAGTAGGACAGTGTGGCAAAGAGAACATACGGGAAAATAAGACAGATTTGAATGGTGAGATTGGATAACAATAAATACTATGCAAGACCCTAGACTCTTAATAGAGGAAGACCACACATCTGGAATTGAGCTTCCTGATAACCAAAGCAAAGATGGAAAGAACAAGCAATTATGAGATTTACAGACTCCACAAAGTAAAGCAATGGTGGGGTGGCACCAGGGAACAGCTTATCAAAGTCCCCATGGTGAGAGGGGAGTTGGGTGCATGAGGGACTGAGTGCTTGGTTCATAAAAGACAAGAGGGAGTTTGGTGGATGAGACCAGAAAAGTAGTTGAGCCGAATCATGCAAGGCCTTTTGGGGCCATGATGAGTCTGTTATTTATTTGAAAATTAAAACATTTTAAGCCAAAGTGGTGTGTGTGTATGTGTGTGTGTGTGTGTGTGTGTGTGTGGTGTTATGCTAGTACTTGCTAATTCTTATAACAGCCTTTCAAAGAGAATGCTTATCATTTCCAGGGTTTTGTAGATGAGAAAACCAGAGTTCAGAAAGGTTAGATGTTGTGTTCAAGGGCTCACAGCCAGGAGATCAAGCAGTCTTCCAATCCACATTCCATACTTGAGAGGGGTAAAGAAGGCTATCTGGAGGAGGCAGATCTACAGGATGCCCTTCCATGGTTGTGGGAGACCCGAGGATTCTGACTGCCTTCCCTGTTCTCCATCCCCTCCAGCCACCTACAACAAGCACACCAAGGTGGCTGTGAAGACGATGAAGCCAGGGAGCATGTCGGTGGAGGCCTTCCTGGCCGAGGCCAATCTGATGAAGAGCCTGCAGCACGACAAGCTGGTGAAGTTGCACGCTGTGGTGACAGAGGAGCCCATCTACATCATCACAGAGTTCATGGCCAAAGGTGCTGCGCAGGGGTGGGGGTGGGGGTGGAAGCACAACGGTGGACATGCCCCAATCTACCTCAGAAGCTCTATTGACAAATACTCACTTAGCACCTTAAAAGGCATCTATGCCACCTTCCTGGTTCAAAGATGAGAGCACAAGGCCTCAGGAGAGGGAAGTGGGACCAGAACCCACCTGGGTGATCACAGAGAGTCTGTGGGTTCACTGAGAGCCTTGAGAGGCTGGGGTGACTCCGTACCTCACCAGCCGTCTCCCCACCAATGCCCTGAGAAGAGTCTCGGGCAAAGGCCAGCACCACTTTACCACAATTTGGCATTTCTCAGGGATTTAAAAAACAAAAAACATTTCACTGCCATTTTCAACCCCTGTCTATTTTTGGATAAACAGCAACATCTCACACAGCTCATTGAGTGTGATTTGAAACCTCAACTTTTTTCATAACATACAATTATACCAGTCTCATAAAACCATACCCACTAGCCTGGCTTGAAAAAAAAAAGTCTTAGTCAGAGAACCAATTTAGCAATCAAACAGTTGGGTCAAAATGACTCCACTTCTATCTCTCCACCAGCGGATATGAGAAATGTGTTTATTGAAATTCATTGCCGTGAAAGATTTGAGCCCTAGCCTAAGATTCATATACTGTTCCCTCCCTGGCCCCCGTACAGGAAGTCTGCTGGACTTTTTGAAAAGTGAAGAAGGCAGCAAGCAGCCCTTGCCCAAACTCATTGACTTCTCAGCCCAGGTGAGAGTCTGGTGGGGAAGAGGAGGGAAAAGGGGCAGCCATTTTTTTTTATCAATTCACCAGATATTTACTGAACACACTCTGTAAAAGGAACAGTAATAAGAGCTAATGTTCAGTTACTCAGTGCTCAATATGCACCAGCCTTTTTATGTGCATCTTACATATACTATGTCCCTGGGTGGCACAAAAGGTTTGCAACTGACAGCTTACCAAAAGGCCCAGCTGTGCTATGGAGGAAAGGCCTGTGATCTGCTTCCATAAACATTACCACCAGTAAAACCCGGTGGAGCAGTTTGATCTAAACACATCACAGAATCGATGAGTCAGAATTACTGTGACAGCTATGGGTTTGATGTCTTTTTTAGTGACCCATACTAATTCACTTGAATCCTCACATGAACCTTATGAAATTGGGAATTTTGCTATCTATTCTTATGTAACAAATCACCCCACAACTTAGTAGCTTAAAACAAAGAAATTGATTTCTCTTGATTCTGTGGGCTGACTAGGTTTGGCTTGGAGCGTCTTCTGCTCCAAGCAGTGAGGCTGGGATTACTCATTTGGTTGTGCTCTACACAGTTGCTCATTCTCTGGGATCTCTCTCACCATGAGGCCTCTTCCCAAGCAGGAGTCTAAGGAGAGCACCTATGGCCTGGCCACTGGGTTCCAAAGGGGAGGGTTCCTAGAGGCCATGCACTAATGTGCAAATGCTTAGCTAGTCATTGCTTGTAAAGAGGAAGACCCCCCAATGAGATGGATTGGCTAAGTGGCAGCATCGATGGACTCAAGCGTGGCAACAGTAGTGAGTTTTGCCCAGGATTAGACAGTATCCGTTCTGCTGTGCATAAGGTCGCTGGGAGTCGATACCCACCCGATGGCACCTAACAACAGCAACAAAGCAAATCACATGACCAAACCCAGCGTCTGCGTGGGAGGGGACTTCCAAAGGGCATATACCCCAAGAGGCATGTTTCATTGACAGGCCACCAATGTAACATAACAGTCTGCCACAGGTAGGTAATTATCATCTCAGTTTACAGAGCAGGAAATTAAAACACAGAGAAGAAGTCGAATCCACATGAGGACTCTGAGGCACAATAAGGTTAAGTAACTTGTCTATATTCTGTGCTGGTTTCACGGGATACTACAGTGAACAAAATACAGAAATGTTCCTGTCCTCAAGAGTTGACGGTCCAGATAGAAAAATAGATACGAAATTGCTGAATTGCTTAAAGAAGCATGAGCCTCGTGGTCCTAGCTCAGAGTCCACTCAATAGTGGATATAAGTCATAGAAACAGGACTTAAATTTTCCCTTGCTTTCTCACCTTCTTCCCCTCAGTCCCTGCAGCACCTCTCACCCCTCCTTGATCTCTCCTCATATGAAAATGGGAGAAAAATGTGCTGTGGGCTACCCAACTGGAGCAATGAGCCATCAGAGAAGTGGTATCTTGGCTGACCTTGGAGGATAAGTAGAAGTTAGGTAGATGAAAGAAAAGAGGAAAGGGAAGAGTGTTTCTAACAGAACAGTGTGTACAAAAGCCAAAAGGGCAAACAGCTGGATTGCCTTGAGCCTAAAGGTATCTGGATGAAAGAAGTGTGGTTTGCATCCTGGTGGGAGTTGAAGGAGATTTGTGCATAGACCTAATTTTCTGGAGAAGCCAAGGGCAGAGCTCATTTGACTATGCAAATCTTGGGAGCCAGGGTCCACCAACAAAGCATAATAAAATTCTCTACTTTCAGAGAGCCTGGAATTTGAGGTGGGGATGGGGTGGTATGGAAATCAAGACCTGGCATTTTCCCTCCAGTGGATCCTGTTCCTTTGAACTGCCGACCTTGCATTTCAAACTGACCTTGTGGTTCTGCGCACAATCCTGCAATGCCATACCAGGACTCCTATAGTTGTTGTTAGGGGCCATCATGTCAGTACCAGCTCACAGTGACCCTGTGTGCAACAGAAAGTAACACTGTCCAGACCTGGGCTAAGCTGACAACCACTACTATGCCTGAGCCCATCTTGTTGGCGGTCTTCCACTTTTTCTCTGACCTTCCACTTTACGAAACATGATGTCCTTCTCCAGGGGCTGGTCCCTCCTGATAATCTATGTGAAATATGAAAGACAAAGTCTCACCAGTCTGGCTTCAAAGGAGCATTCTGGCTGTACTTCCAGCACTGAATTGTTTGTTCTTTTGGCAGTCCATGGTACCTTTATATTCTCCTCCAACATCACAATTCAAATGCATCAATTCTACAGTCTTCCTTATTCATTGTCCAATTTTAAATGCATATGAGGTTATTGAAAATACCATGACGTGTCTCAGGCACACCCTAGTCTTCAAACTGACATCTTTGCTCTTGAACACCTTAAAGAGGTCTTCTGTAACAGATTTGCTTAATGCAATATGTTGTCGTTTGATTTCTTGACTGCTGCTTCCATGAGAGTTGATGGTTGATCCAAGCAAAATGAAGTCTTTGACAACTTCAATCTGTTCTCCATTTACATGGATATTACTTATTGGTCCAGTGGTGAGGATTTTTGTTTTCTTTACATTGAGGTGCAACACACACTGAAAGTTGTGGTCTTTGGTCTTTATCAGTAAGATTTTATGTCCTCTTCACTTAAAGCAAGCAAGATTGTATCATCTGCATATCATAGGTTGTTATTGAGTCTTCCTCTAGTCCTGACGCCATGTTCTTCATACAATGTACTCGAATTATTTACTCAGCATACAGATTGAATAAGTATGATGCACACCTTTATTAATTTTAAACCATTCAATGTTATCCTTGTTCTATTCAACAAGTGCCTCTTTGTCCATGTACAGGTTCCTCATGAGCACAATTAAGTGTTCCCGAATACTCGTTCTCTGCAGTGTAATCCATAGCTTGTTATGCTCTATATAATCGAAACCCATTGCATAGTCAAAAAAGCACAGGTAAACATCTTTCTGATATTCTTTGCTTTCATTCAAGATCCATCTCATGTCAGCAATTGAAACCCTAGTTCCACATCTTCTTCTGAATCCGGCTTAAACCTCTGGCAGTTCTCTGTCAATGAGTTGTTGCAGCCATTTAAAAATTAGTTTTAGAAAAATTTTACTTGCATATGACATTAGAGATATGGTCCAATGATTTCTGCATTCCGTTGTGTCACCTCATTTTGGAATGGGCACAAATACAGATCTCTTCAAGTCAGTTGGCCAGGTAGTTGTCTTCCATATTTCTTGGCATAGAAGAGTAAGTGCCCATCAGTTTGTTGAAAGATTTCAATTTGTATTCCATCAATCCCTGGTGCCTTATTCTTTGCCAAGGCCTTCAGTGCGCTTTGGACTTTTTCCTTCAGTATCATAGGCTATTGATCATAAGCTACCTCTTGATACAGTGACTCTGTGTATTCTTTCCATCTTATTTTGACGCTTTCTGCATCATTCAATATTTTGCCTATAAAATCCTTCAATATTTTGAGTCAAGGCTGGAATATTTTCTTCAGTTCCCTCAGCTTGAGAAATGCTGAGCGTGTTCACCTTCCCTCTTGGTTTTCTAATTCCAGATCTTTGCACATCTCATTATAATATTTGACTTTGTCTTCTCGAGCTACCCTTTAAATTTTTCTATTCAGCTCTTGTACCACCTCATTTCTTCCATTTGCTTTAGCATCTCTATGCTAGAGAGCAAGTTTCAGAATCTCTTCTGACATACGTTTTGGTCTTTTTTTTACCACTATGTTGTTGTTGTTAAGTACCAGGGAGTGAGTTCCAACCCATAGTGACCCTGTAGAGTGTTTCCAAGGAGCAGCTGGTGAGCTTGAACCGCCAACCTTGTGGTTCAAACCAACTTTTCAGTCCAGCGCATGAACCCACAGCACCACACCAGGACTCCATTCTTACCACTATAGCTGGCCATAACTGTTTATCTAACAACTCTGTATGTTTCCCACATCCCTAGGCCAAGACCCTGTGTCACTTCCACATCCTGTCCCCCTATCCCAAACAAAATCAGAAAATCCCTTTTTGAGTTTTTGTTGCAGTGTGAAGCTTAGGACCTTACTTCTAATGGCCACAGGTGCCCCCTGCTGGCTGCTCCTTACAAGAACACCACGCACTCACCTTGGGCTTTGAGCCCACTGATGCTGGCTGGGTTGGTCAGTCTGACCAGGTTACACAGCTTCCACATTCACACAAATAACCTCACCGATTTGCCCCCAGGCCCAGAGCACTGCAGTACTGGTTCATAGAGGTCGCATAGGACTCACTCTAGAGTTCTGGTGTGGCACTGTTGTTGTTGTTGTTATGTGCCATGAAGTCGGTTCTGACTCATAGCGACCCTGTACAGGGTTTCCAAGGCTGTAATCTTTACGGGAGCAGAAAGCCTCATCTGTCACCCGTGGAACAGCTGATAGTTTCAAACTGTTGACCTTGCGGTTTGCAGTCTGATTCGTAACCACTACGGGATAAGTTAACTGCTAGGTCAGCGATTCAAAGCCACCAGCTGCTTCTCAGAAACCCTATGCAGGGTTGCTATAAGTTGGAACCAACTCAATGGCACTTAACAACAACAACAAATAGGACTCTAGGGTTGGAAGTTGTAGAGCGGTTTGACCCTGACTTTAACGTGACATGTGATAGCATTGACTCAAGGGACTTAAAGGCCAGTTTGGAAACTATGAGTCTCTGATGGACAAAAGGATCTTTTGTCCAGATCCTTGTATGTGAAAATCTCTCCATGGCACAATCTCAAATCTCTGTCGAGTCTCCAGGGCCCCATTGTGAATCAACTGGCTCCACACAGTCTACCCCACCACTTGCCTGTCAATTTGTTGTACTGTGGTGGCTTGTGTGTTGCTGTGATGCTAGAAGCGATACCTGGTCACCAGTATTTTAAATATGAACAGGGTCACCCATGGTGGACAAGTTTCAGTGGAGCTTCCAGACTAAGACAGACTAGGAAGAAAGAGAGGCAAACCACTTCTGAATGGTTAGCCATTGAATAGCTTATGAATTGCAACAGAACATTGTCAGATATTTTTTTTTGTATGCCATCAAGTCAGTTCCAACTCATAGCGACCCTGTATAGAGTTTCAGAGGCCTTACATCTTAGCAGAAGCAGAAAGCCTCATCTTTCTTCCAAGGAGCGGCTGCTGGGCTCAAACCACAGATCTTGTGGTTTGAAGTCCAATGCTTATTTTATGGAGCCACCACACTCCCATTGTCAGATATAGTGCTGGACATTGAACCCCTGAGGTTGGAAGGCACTCAAAATATAACTGGGAAAGAGCTACCTCTTCAAAGTAGAGTTGACCTTCATGATGTGGATAGAGTTAAGCTTTCTGGACCTTCATTTGCTGATGGGGCACAACTCAAAATGAGAAGAAGTACATCCATTAATAATTGGAGCATGGAATGTACAAAGTATGAATCTAGGAAAACTGGAAGTCGTCAAAATGAAATAGAATTCATAAAGAATGATATCCTAGGCATTAGTGAGCTGAAATGGACTAGTTTTGGCCATTTTGATTCAGACAATCATATGGTTTGCTATGCTAGAAATGACAAACTGCAGAGGAGTGGTGTCCCATTCATTGTCCAAAAGAACATTTCGTTATCTATCTTGAAGTACAATGCTGTCTGTGATAGGATAATATCCATACACCTACAAGGAAGACCAGTTAATATCACTATCCAAATTTACGCACCAACCACTAAAGCCAGTGATGATGAAACTGAAGAATTCTACCAACTTCTTCAGTCTGAAATTGATCAAACATGCAATCAAGGTATATTAATAATTACTGATGATTGGAATGCAAAAGTTAGAAACAAAGAGGAAGGATCCATGATTGGAAAATAGGGCCTTGGTTAGAGAAACCATACTAGAGATCGCATAATAGAATTCTTCAAGATCAATGACTTATTCGTTATAAATATATCCTTTTCAACAGAATAAAAGGTGGCTATACATGTGGACCCCGCCAGACAGAATACACAAGAATCAAAATGACTACATCTGGAGATGATGGAGAAGCTCCATAACATCAGCCAAAACAAGGCCAGGGGCAGACTATGGAACAGATCATCCATTGCTCATATGCAAGTTCAGGCTGAAGCTGAAGAAAACTAAAACAAGTCCATGAGAACCAAAGCATTACCTTGAATATAACCCACATGGATTTAGAACAGATTTGATGCATTAGACACTAATGACTGAAGACCATAAGAGTTGTGGGATGACATCAAGAGCATCATATATGAAGAAAGCAAAAGGTCATTAAAATGACAGAAAAGAAAAAAAAAGATCAAAGTAGATATCAGAAGAGACAATAAAACTTGCTCTTGAGCATAGAGAAGCTAAAGCAACTGGAAGAAATGAGGAAGTAAAAGAGCTGAATAGAAAATTTCAAAGATAAAGTCATATATTATAATGAAATGTTCAAAGATCTGGAGTTAGAAAACCAAAAGAGAACACACTCAGCATTTCTCAAGCTGAAAGAACTGAAGAAATACTAAAGCCTCGGGTTGCAATATTGAAGGATTCCATGGTGTTGTAGGATAAGCACTGGATGGTTAACCACAAGGTTGGTGGTTTAAACCCACTAGCCGCTTCTTGGAAACCCTATACAGGGTCACTATGAGTTGACCTCAATGTTGACATCATCACTCAATGACACTTAACAACAACATGGGCAAAATATTGAATGTCAAGGAAGCATCAAAAGAAGACGGAAGGAATATACAATCACTGTACCAAAAATTACTGGTCAATGTTCAGTCATTTCAAGAAGTGCCATATCTTCAAGAATCAAATAAAGTAAAGAAAGAAGTCCAAGCTTCATTGAAGGCACTGCTGAAAAAACAAGCCTCCAGGAATTGTCAGAATACAAATTGAAATGTTTCAACAAACTGAATCGGCACTGGAGGTACCCACTCTTCTATGTCAAGAAATTTGGGAGACAGCTACCTGACCAGCAGATTGGAAGAGATCCTTACTTGTGCTCATTCCAAAGAAAGGTGATGCAACAGAATGCAGAAATTATCTAACAATATCATTAATATTATATGGAAGTAAAATTTATATGAAGATCATTTAAAAATGATTGCAGCAGTACACCAACAGGAAGCCACCAGAAATTCAAAACAGATTCAGAAGAAGGATGTGGAAGTAGGGATATCATTGCTGATGGCAGATGGATCTTGGCTTAAGGCAGAAAATATACCAGAAAGATGTTTACTTGTGCTTTATTGACTATGCAAAGGCATTTGACTATGTGGATCATAACAAGCTATGAATAACATTGGGAAGAATGGGTATGCCAGAACACTTCATTGTAGTCATGAGGAATCTGTACATAGGCCAAGAGGCAGTCATTAGAACAGAACAAGGGGATGCTGAATGGTTTAAAATCAGGAAAGGTGTGTTCCAGGGTTATATCCTTTCACCGTACTTATTAAGTCTGTATGCTGAGCAAATAATCTGAGAAACTGGATTATATAAAGAAGAGTTTGGCATCAGGATTGAAGGAAGAGTCATTAACAACCTTCGATATGCAGATGACACAACTTTGCTTTCTGAAAGCAAAGAGGACTTGAAATGCTTACTGCACCTCAATATAAAGAAAATGAAAATTGTCACAACTGGACCAATAAAAAAAACAAATCATAATAAATGGAGAAAAGATTGAAGTTTCAAAGACATCAGTTTGCTTTGATTCACAATCAATGCTCATGGAAGTAACAGTCAAGAAATCAAATGATGTATTGCATTAGGCAAATCTGCATAAGATCTCTTTCAAATGTTAAACAGCAAAGATGTTACTTTGAGGACTAAGGTATACCTAACACAAGTCATAGTATTTTCAATCATTGACAATGAATAAGGAAGACCATAAGAGAATTGATGCCTTTGAGTTATGGTATTGGGGGGTAATATTGAAAGTACCATGGACTTCCAGAAAAACAAGCAAATCTGTATTGGAAGCAGTGCAGTCAGAATGCTCCTTAGAAGCTAAGATGGTGAGATTTTGTATATCATGCTTCAAACATGTCATCAGGCGGGACCAGTAATTGAAGAAGGACATCATGCTTGGAAAAGTAGTGTCAGTGAAAAAGAAGAAGACCACAATGAGATGGATACAGTAGCAACAACAATGGGCTCAAATGTACCAACAGTTGTGAGGATGGTTAAGGAGCACACAGTGTTTCATTCTGCTGTGCATAGGGGCACTATGAGTTAGAGCAGACGTGATAGCGCCTAACAGCGACAGCAACAATCTGTCATTTCACTCAGTGTACGTGGTGATCTTAAAGTACACATCAGTTCCTGTCACATTCCAGCTCAAAGGCTTCTAATGTCCCCCACGTTGTACTCGTAATGAAACCCAACCTCCTCTCCTGGCTACAAGGCCCTGTCTGATTGATCCTGCATCCTTCTCTACCTCAATTCCCCCAACTCTTCCTGTGGCGTCCTCCATTCAGATACCCTGTCTTCCTTGATAGTTCATGAACTCCCAAGTCCATTTCCACCACCAGGCCTTTGCACTTGATGTTCTGTCTACTGGTATGTTATGGTGATCACTCTGGTTTTTGATAAAATTTCACCTCTTGGAAAGTCTTTGAGTTAATCCAAAGAAAGTCCTCTATTCATCATGTCCCATTACCCTGCTTGCTTGCTTGATGGTACATAGCACCATATGCAGGGACTTCCTGGCTCACTGCTTAAACACCTGTTCAAGTTACATGTCTGCTACCCACAAGACACTCAGTAGCTATTGTTGAATGACTTTTCCCTACCCAGGCCTGGGGATAAAGAAGGTATAAGAGGGTGTCAAAAGATGACATGAGCCTAGATTATCTCTGGAAATGAGGTCTGGGGTGAAAGTTCTTCATAGTATCCTGGTGTGTGTGTGAGAGAGAGAGAGAGAAAGGAAGAGAGATAGAGATGATTCTTCCTCTTCCCAGTAACTCCTGAAATGATTCCATCAGTTGTCCCTTGAGAACCTTTCAAAATGCTCTCTGGAAGTCTTGGAACTGCAAGGAAGCCCCAAACTGAGGCTCTGAGTGTCTCCCCACACCACGAAACCTGGATAAGTAGATAGAAAAACACCAGCCTGAGCTCAGGACCCAACTGACAAGAAAGACAGAGCTGGCGCTCATGTTTTCAGTTTCCTTGCACTTGGTTATTCCTCTTCTCCTTTTGAGGGGAACTGGCTTGGGCTGGGCTGAGTCTGAGGACATGGATGTCTCTGTTTTGGGTGGAGATTGCAGAAGGCATGGCGTTCATCGAGCAGAGGAACTACATTCATCGAGACCTTCGAGCTGCCAACATCTTGGTTTCCGCATCCCTGGTGTGTAAGATCGCCGACTTTGGCCTGGCGCGGATCATTGAGGACAATGAGTACACAGCTCGTGAAGGTAGGGAGTGCTGCCTACGGTACCCACTTAGCAGGGCTGTGAGTGTTGAGAGTTAATGTCTGTGAAAATGATCTGTAAAATGCAAAGATCTGCCCCAATGCTAGCTGTGTAGCATGAAACTTGGTGGGGTCCTTCTGTGTATTGTATCCTAGACTTAAGAATTGCACCTAGTAGATTCAAGAGGGAGATTTCAGACCAGATAGAAAGCTAATGATCAATGTTAAACTTAGTCAAAGCAAGTGCATGTTGAAATCAAAGATTAGAATTAAAAACTGGGAAGAATCTAAATGTCTCTAAGTAGTAGAATAAATAAATGGTGTTATACACAATAAGATAATAAGGTGTAATTAATAAGATGTAACACAATAAGATGTAATTAATAAGATTAATTACACAATAAGATGTAATTAATACTACATTGTTATTGTTAGGTGCCATCGAGCTGGTACCAACTCATAACGAAACACTGCAGCCGTGAAAAAGTACACATGATTGCTACATGCAACAAAATGAACCACTCACACACATGCACTATCAAAATGAGAGACATTTTTATTAAAAAGTTATATTCTATGTGGTCTGTTTATATGAATTTTTTTTTAAAGGACAAACTTGTACATGAATGGTCATAGCAGCATTATGTATAATTGCCCCAAAGTGGAGAACACCCAGATATTCATCTACTGATGAATGGATAAACAAAATGTGGTATGTTCATGAGATGGGACATTATTTAGCCATAAAAAGAAATTAAATTCTGATATATGCTACAAAATGGATGAGTCGTGAAATACTATGTAAAAGAAGCCAGTCACAAAAGGCTATATATTATATGATTCCATTTATATGATATGTCCAGATTGGTCAAATCTATGAAGACAGAAAGGTGGTTCCGTGGTTAAGTTGCTTAGCAGCTAACCAAAAGGTCAGTGGTTTGAACCCACCAACCACTCTGAGGAGAAAGATGAGGCAGTCTGCTTCTGTAAAGATTTACAGCCTTGGAAACATTGTGGGGCAGGTCTCCTCTGTCTTATAGGGCCTCTAGGATTGGAATCAACTCCACACTATGGGGTTTTTCTAGAAAGTAGATTTGTGGTTGCTAGGGGCTGTAGGGATTGTGAGAAATGGGAGTGGCTTCTTATGGGTTGGGGATTTCCTTCTGGAGTTATGAAAATGTTCACTGCCCACTTCACCCCACTTTAGCGACTTTCATCAAGAGGAATATCCCTTGTTCACACAGGGGTGTCAGACTCTGGGAAATACTCTTCTGCAGAGGGCAGATTTGGACAGCTGCTGTCTCTGTCCTGTCCCCTCACCTGGCCTGACTGCTCCCCAGACAATCCCTGATTCAGCTCTGTCCAACCCCACAGGAGCCAAGTTCCCCATCAAGTGGACATCTCCTGAAGCAATCAATTTTGGCTCCTTTACCATCAAGTCAGACATTTGGTCCTTTGGTATCCTGCTGATGGAGATCGTCACCTATGGCAGAATCCCTTACCCAGGTAGGAAGGGGGGGGCATTAGTTGGGGGTGCTCCCAGGGCCCGAGTCTCCTCTTGCCAATGTGTCCATCAAGCAGACTGAGTTCTTGATCCTCCCCTGTTGTTGTTGTTATGTGCCATGGAGTCAGTTCCAACTCATAGATCCTCCCCTAGCCTTCCCTAAAAGATACATCTCATCCACTCAATTGCTTATGCCTGAAACATAGGGACTTCCTTGGTCTTTCCCTTCTTCTCATTTCTATATCCAAGCACTCACAAAGTTCTGGCCATTTGACTGCAAATCATATCCCATATCTGCCAGCTTCTAATTCACAGCATCCACCACATCCAAGCCAACTTCATCTCTCACCTACATGGTTCAGTGGCCTCCACATGCAGCCAGAGGCATCTTTAAAAACTGTGAATCCCACTTTATCTCTTTTCAACCTCTAACACGTAATGATCTCACGTTATAATTAGGATAGGATCTCAAACTCCTAATTATGGCCTGCCAAGCCTTTGTGAGTTAACACCTTTCCAGCTTCATCTCCTGCTGTACCACACATCTTCCTGGCTATAATGTTCCACTCAGCACAATTTATAGCTATGTAGTCATGGTGTGTATTAACATTGTCTTCATGAGCCTCCGAGCTCTATGAGGCCAGATGTCATGTCTGAATCCCTCACCAGTGTTATTCACAGTGCCTACCTCTGTCACACAGTGTGTGTTTAGTAACCATTTGTTGAATGAAATAATTAATATTCATGCCTATGGGTAGGGCCCTACGGAGTGTATCATGGTAGGTGTACAAAGATGTTGCAACACATAGAAAGACTGGGACCCAATAAATATTTTGTCCTCTGTCCTTTTTAGTTGGGTTATCTCTAGCCTATCTGTAGCCAGAGCACAGGAGAGGAGGCAAGGTCCATGTTAAGAGTCCTTGGCTTTACAGTTCCAAATTTGAATCCTGTTTTCATCAATCACAAGGAAACCCATGAGAGCTGGAACTCGATTGGGTTTGCCTTGTTTTTCCAGATTTTGCAAGTTTTCTGCATTTGACGCAGTGCAGTCTCACCACTTTGCTATCATTTTCTAGTTAGTGAGAAATGCCCAACTTTTCCTTTTCTGACAGCTTTCTAGGTAGTGCTGCTGTAACAGATATACAACAACAAGTGGATGGCTTTAACAAATTGATTTTCTCACCGTTTAGGAGACTAGACATCAGAATTGAGAGCACCGGCTCTGGGGAAAGGCTCTGGTCCCCTTTCAGCATCTATCTGTAGGCCCAGCAGCATTCCTTAGAGAGCTCTATTTGTCTTGACCTCAATCATTTCTTGGGTCTCAGAGCTTCACAGTACAGGGACCCTAGGTCCAAAGGACGCATCCTACTCCTTGCTACTCTTTATTGGCTGTTGTTGTTATTGTTAAATGTCGTTGAGTCAGTTCCCACCCATGGAGACCCTGTATAGCATTTCTGAGCAGCAGCTGGTGAACTTGCACCACTGACTTTGCAGCTCAACCGGCTTTGCAGTTTGGCGCATTAACCTTTGGTGCATTAACTTACACCAGGACTCCTGGTGACAGCAAGTCCTTATTAACTCTGCTCATATCTCTCTCCTTTTGTCTCTTATAAGATAAAAGGTTTTGCATGCCACACCCTTGGAAATTTCCCCTACAGCAGATTAGGGTCATGATGGGATTAAAAGGGGGAGTCCTGGTATGGCACTGTGGGTTAATGCTCTGGCTTGCAAAGTTGGTTTGAACTGCAAGGCTGGTGGTTCAAGCTCACCAGCCCCTCCTTGGAAACCCTATACAGGATCACTGTGGGTTGGAACCAACTCCACCACACTTAGCACCATCCCACCCTTAGTCCTCTTATTGGTTTATCACATCAGATCATATTATGGGGATCATCATGTAACTGCCAAACCACTGAGAATCATGGTACATATTCTGGGAAGGGACACAATTCAATCCATGGCACTTCCTTACACAGGTTGTAGCTTTTGTAGGTTTTACTATATTGCGTCATGAGAAATTCAGTCTTCTCACAAGGAAGGTAACTATACCTACCTTGCAGAGGTTGTTGTGAAGATTAGAAATAAAAGATGTAGACATTTGGTTCCTTCAGCAGTCTTTACTGAGTCCCTCCTGTATGTTGGGCACTGAAGATACGGGGGTGCTCATGCTCATAAGGACCTCAAGTCCCAGCCTGGTGGTGAACCAATACTCTCAGATGGAGATCACTGCTGAGAAGAGAAAATGAGGCAGGGGATGTGAGAGAGGAAGGCCAGGTCACAGATGAGCTGAAAGACAGCTGACTGCTGATGCAGGGCAGGATTCCAGGTAGAACACTGCTAGGACTTGCAGTACGTCTGAAGAAAATCAAGGTGTCTGGAGACAGTAAATAAGTACAGAGCGATGAGGTCCATGGTGAAGCCAGTAGGGTCAGATGACTCAGCTCCCACCAGGGCCGTGTTTTAGTATGTGGATTAATATATAGTATCTGAATATATAGGAAGCCATTGGAGAGTTTGGGGCAGGGGAGTGGCATTATCTGATGCCCATTTTTAAATGATGCTTTGGCTCACCATGGAAAATGGATTGAGGGCAAGGATGGCAGTCCTGTGAGGCTGCTGCAGAAGTGGTGGCAGTTGGATAGGGTAGCACGAGAGATAAGTTGATGAGTTGGTGATGCATTTCAGAAGAAGAAAGGATATGATTTACTGATATAGGAGAGGAAAGAAAGAGAAGACTCAGGAACGACTCTCCTGGTTTTTACTGATTTTAATTGAGCAGTTGGTAGGTAGTGGTCAGAGGGCAGGAATTCAAGACTTCTATTTTAGCCATGTTCTGTTTAATGTGGCTGACAGACATCCATCTAGAGATGTCCAAGAATGCACTTGATATCTGACATGGAAGTTCAAAACTGATAATATCAAATTGGGGGTTATAGACATTTAAGCAATTGCTATTATGAACTTAAATTGAATGAAAAGATGGCCCTACTCATATGGACATAATGAGCCTGGCCACCTATCTTATCTTGAGGGTACATAAGTAAAAACCAGGCAGTAAGATATGGAATGTATCCATTAAGATGCATTAGTCTGCAAGTAACAAAATTATAAACTGAGTATCTGAAACAATAGGCAATTTATTATTCTCCATAATAATAAAGTACCATACATCTCCCTTATTATTCTCTCTCATAAGAGCCAGTAAGTCTGATAGGGTCAAGCAACTTAGACATTGGCTACCTAAAATGGGGGGGGGGGGACACTAATAAAGGCACAGAGTCCTGGTGTGGCACTGTGGGCTAATGTGTCAGACTGCAAAGTCCTTTAAACTGCAAGGTCGGTGGTTTAAGCTCACCAGCTGCTCCTTGGAAACCCTATTTATAATGGTTGCTTTGGGTCAGAATCGACAACGGCACTTAACAACAACAACAATAAAGGCACAAAGTGGCTGGTTTACAAGTTTTCAAGAGGAAATTTAGTTACAGAGTATGAGGGAAGGTAGAATCCCCACTGAATAATTTTCATCTCGTTTAGATAAGTCTGGTGAAAGGAGATGGGAAAAAGATTCTTATGATTCAATAGTGAGTAATTGTTATCATGACTAATTGCAATTGTCACAACTGTGAAGGTAGAAGCTGCATAAGAAGGAAGAAGTAGTTAAATTTACATTCATGAACAGAGGACCCTAGAACCAACAAGAGAGAAGAGCATGAGTGGAACATGGGACCCTACCGAGAGAAGAAGGGACGCCAGAGATAGAGGCAGAGATGATGGCATGGAGAGATAGAGCACTATCTTTCTCTAGACTCACGGAAAGAGAAAGGCTGTGTGCTAGTGGCCAGGAGGCAGGCTTTCAGAATGTGCCCTTGGGTTTTTAAAATGATTATATATTGCTGAGTGTTTTTGAGTACATCAAAAACTAAAATACTGTAAATAGTAAATACTGTTGAATAGTGATGCATGGAGGGGATTGTAATCATTGCAATGATACGGAATATGGCAGGATGAGTGCAAAATCGATGTCCTCCCACATAAACTATCACTCAATGCACAATAAAAGCTTAAAAAAAAAAAAAAAAAAGTTGCCTGTAAATCTGGCGTAGGTAAGTAGTTCAGTAGGTTAACAACTGTCAGGGTGCTGGGTTAGTTTCTCTGTGACGATCTTCTATGGTCAGATGATTGCTGCAGCCCCAGCTAGCACATCCTCTCTCCGCAGCCAAAGGATGGGAAAAGTGTGTTTCCTCCAAATCCCTCCCCTACCTTTTTCTCCCCTCCCCCATGGTAAAAGGTACATAAAACATACACCAATTCAACAATTTCTACATGTTCATTAACACTGGTTACATTCTGTGGGAGAAAGATGTGGTGGTCTGCTTCCATAAAGATCTACAGCCTTGGAAACCCTATGGTGCCCTGCCCTATTGGGTTTGCTATGAATTAGAATCAGCTCAGGGGCAATGGGTTATTTTGGTTACGTTTTTCAAGTTGTACAACCATTCTTGCTATTCTTTTACAAATTATTCCACCACCATTAACATAAACTTGATTCCAAAGCCTCTCTTCTAATCAGGGAGGAAAACTTTTCCTGAAACTCTAACAGACTTCCTTGTAACTCTCATTAGCCAAAGTTGGGTCCCATGCCCATGTCCTAGCTGCAAGGGAGACTGGGAAAATGGGCATCTGGCATTTACAGTGGGAGGGGCTTAGCTCTCAAGAAGAGGTGGGGAATGATGGCTATTAGGGAAATAACGGTGTCTGCCCATTCCCAAACCCCTCTTCTTAGGGATGTCGAACCCAGAGGTGATCCGAGCGTTAGAGCGTGGATACCGTATGCCTCGACCAGACCACTGTCCTGAGGAGCTCTACAACATCATGACACGCTGCTGGAAGAACCACCCAGAGGAGCGACCCACCTTTGAGTATATCCAGAGTGTGCTGGACGACTTCTACACAGCCACAGAGAGCCAGTACCAACAGCAGCCATGATCGGGCAGGACTAGAAACAGGGCCTGGGGCAAAATCCACTGTTGCCCGTTTACCCTTCCCCCTCCCAGACACCCACCCCCTCTGCAGCCACAGGTTTTTCATCTTTCAAGTAGGTGGGTTGAACTGGACAATATCTTTTAAATTTTTTTATGAAATAACATCTTTTACTATTCACAGGAAATTAGATAACAGTGGATAATCACATAATGCAAGATCTTAGAGGGATCTGTTTCCTAAAAACAGATGTTCACACTGTAAACAATCAACAGTATTCTACCATGATATCGATCAGGATAAATGCCAAGCCCATAACAATGAAGATACAAATCAGGATCAATATTAGAATAAACGTCACAAGACATCTTTGAGCATAATTTCTGTAGAAGAGAGGTGCCATTTAATGAGACCCTTCGGTGTGCTACTCCTTTTGGGGTGTGGCCCTCTGCTCTTGGGTTGCAGCCCACTCCATGAGACCTATCCCCTTCTTCCACATGTGGACTCTTGGCCACAGTGCAGTCCCCTGCTCTCTCCTAAGGACTTCCTGCTCTTGGGCCATAGTCCCCTCCTCTCTAGGTGTGGCCACCTGTTTTTGGCTAAGGGTCCCCTGCTCTTGGCATACATACTCCAACTCTCTACCTGCTTTCAGCTAAGGGTCCCCTGCTCATGAGGCACAGACCCCAGATCTCTGGGTGTGGCCACCTGCCTTGGGCACTCAGTCCTCTGATCTCTGGGCTGGGTAACTTGTTCTGCATGCTCAGCCCTCCGAACTAGGGTCCCGGACACCATGGGATGCAGCCCAAGTCTCAAGAAGTGTCCTCCTACTCCACTCACAGGTCCCTGGCCCCAGTACAGTTTCCTGATCTTGGCATTGCAACATCCTGCTCTTGGGGTTGGGCACCTTGTTCTCGGGCTAGGGTGCCCTGCACTAGGGGCTTGAGCTCCATCTCTTGGGCAGGACCCCTGCTCCTCTCTCTTGCTGTCTTCTGTCTCTGTTGCCATCGTGACCTCCTGTGCCACTGTCAGACACACTCAGTGTCTCTGCCACTTCTGGACCTCTCGAAGCCACCATTGCAGTCCCCTCAGTGGATTACAGCTAAGCTTCTTTCCTCCTTGTCTCTGATGGGTCTCAACCTGTACCCTTAGACCAGCTCTGCTCTGGAACTGCTCTGCTTGTCTGATAGCTCTTTTCTTTTGGGCCATGCTGTTGGGTAGGTCCAAGTGTCCTGCATCCTCCCACTGTAGGTCTGCTCTTGGTGCCCAGGCCTCACAGGTGCTGACACTCCATCTTGAAACAAGGCACCAAGCTGGACAATATCCTTTGACTGGAAAAAAATCCACAATCTGAGATTCCCAGGAGACCCCAAGTTGATATTGCTGTTGCCTGAGACAGTTGGGTTTCACTCACAGCTATGGTTTGGATGATAAGCCTCAAAAATAAGTAAATATTTAAATAAAATATGTGAATGCCAGCCCTTCTCGTTTCCAAGTATCTATTTGCCTTCTTGCTATACAGCAAGTCAGAAAGGAGGAAGGACCCTCCCAGAGACAGCAGTGAGAAGAGAATGAGATCCAGAGCTGGAAGGCTTCTAACTGCCCTAAAATGATGTTAGCTGTATTCATTTCCTATGACCGCTGTAACAAATTGCCAAGAAACTTTCTGGCTTAAAACCACACAAATCTATTCTCTTACAGTTCTGGAAGTCCAAAATGGGTCCAAAGAACTCATTCCTTCTGGAGGCTTTGTTGTTGTTGCTGTTAGATGCTGTCAAGTCAACTCATAGCAACCCTACGTACAACAAAATGAAATACTTCCCGTTCCTGCGCCATCCTCACAGCTGTCGCCACCTTTGAGCCCATTGCTGCTGCAATTGAATCTTTATGGGAGAAATAATTTGCTTACTTTTCCCAGTTTCTGGAGGCTGCCTACATTCCTTGACTCATGGCCCCCTCCCGTGCATCACTCCAACCTCTGTTTCCATCATCACATCTCTGTCTCTGTTTTCTTTCTGCAGTTTTAGGGATCCCTGTGATTACATTGGGCCCACCCAGATAATCCAGGATATTCTTTTCATCTCAAGATCCTTAACGTAATCACACCTGCACAGTTCCTTCTGCCACATTAGGGAACATGTTCACAGGTTCTGGAGATTAGGACATGAACATTTTTGTGATGGAGGCATTATTCTGCCTACCACATTGACTCTGGGACACCGCAGGGATTTTTTAATTTTATTTTATTTTTAGTATGTACATGTCCACACAAAAAAGTTTTATAAATCATAACCCCTATACCTGTGAATGTAAGATGGTCTTCTTTAATGAGGAGATATCAATAGAAGGCGTATCTTAAGTAAATCACTTTAAAGATCTTTTGTGTGTGATTTGGGTGAAAGTTCGCAAAGCAAATTGGTTTACCATTCAACAATCATAACCATTTTGTTTTGTGATATTCACTGCATTCCTCACTTCCTTTCTGTGTTTACAATTTCCCTTTTTCTTTCCTATTCACTCCTGCCTTCTGAGACTTATCCCTGGGCCAATGCTCCCCTTTTAATCTCATCCGGTTGATTGTCCTAACAAATGAGAACCTCCCTTATAGACCTTTGGCTGAACATGGACCCACAGTTTCAGGCTTGAAGGGCGGATAAGGACCAGTCTTGGGAGTTCCACCAGTCTCCAGAAGAGGAATAAGCCTAGCTTTTTTCGGGATTTTGCGTTTTGTTCCACATTTTTCTCCCACTGTATTCAGAGCCTTCTAATATCCTTTCAGAACAATCAGCAGTGTTAGCTGGGCTGAACACCATCTAGTTCTTCTGGTCTCAGGGTCATGAAGGCTATGGTTCACGTGGTCCATTAGTCCTTTAGCCTAATTATTTCCTTGTGACTTTGATTTTCTTCATTCTTTTTTGCTCTAGGTGGGATAGAGTAATAGTTGTACCTAAAATGGCTGTTCACAGCTTTTAAGACCCCAGTTGCTCCTCATCAAATTAAGATGGAAAACAGTTTCTTTGTAAATTATTTTATGCCAATTGAACTTAATGTCCTCTGAGACAATTGTCTAGCAACTCATTCCCTCAAGGTGTTTGACCATGGCTAAGAAGTTTTCATAACCTTGCCCACATATGCTTTACTACCACCACTTGTATGTAGTTTGTCATACTGTGGTGACATCTGTGTTGCTGTGATGCTGGCAGCTAAGTCATTTGTTTTTTTAAATACCAGCAGGGTCACCATGGTAGACAGGTTTCGGTGGCGCTTCCAGACTAAAACTAGACAGAAAGAGAGGTGGATCTCTTCTGAATGGTTAGCTACTAAAACTTTATGGACAGCAGCAGAACACTGTCAGCTATAGTGCTGGAAAATTAGCTCCTCAAGTTGAAAGGCACTCAAAATACGACTGGGGAAGAGCTGCCTCCTCAAAGTAGAATTGACCTTAATGATGTGGATAGAGCAAAGCACTCAGGACCTTCATTTGCTGATGGGGCACAACTCAAAATGAGGAGAAATAACTGTAAACATCCACTAATAACCAGCCCATGGAATATACAAAGTATAAATCTAGGAAAATTGGAAGTCATTAAAAACTAAATGGAACATAAAAAGATCACTATCCTAGGCATTAGAGAGATGAAATGGACTGGTATTAGTCATTTTGAATCAGATCATCATATGGTTTACTATGCTGAGAACAACAAATTGAAGAGGAATGGCTTTGTACTCATTGTCAGAAAGAGCATTTCAAGATTTATCTTGAAGTACAATGCTGTTTGTAATAGAATAATAGCCATTTACCTATAAGGAAGATAAGTTAATACCACTATGATTCAAATTTATGCAATTAAAGCCAGTGATGATAAAATTGAAGAATTCTACCAACTTCTTCAGTCTGAAATCTCAAGATGCATTGATAATTATTGGTGATTGGAATGTGAAAGTTAGAAACAGAGGAGAAGGATCCGTAATTGGAAAATGTCATGATGATAGAAACAGTGCTAGAGATCATATGATAGAATTTTGCAAGACCAATGACTTATTCATTGCAAATACCTTTTTCATAAACTTAAACAGTGACGCTACACATGGACCTCACCAGATGGAATACACAGGAATCAAACTGACTACAGCTGTGGAGAGAGATGATGGACAAGTTCAATATCATCAGACAAAAGAAGGCCAGGGGCAGACTGGAATAGACCATCAATTACAAATTCAGGTTGAAGCTGAAGAAAATTAAAACAACACTATGAGAGCCAAAATATGACCTTAAGTATATTTCAACTGAATTTAGAGACCATCTCAAGAACAGATTTAATGCATTAGACACTAATGACTGAAGACCAGAAGAGTTGTGGATGACAACAAAAAGGAAGAAAGCAAAAGGTCATTAAAAAGCAGACCAAAATGGATGTCAGAGGAAACTGAAACTTGTTTTTGAACGTAGAGAAGCTAAAGTTAACGCACTTGGAAGAAATGAAGTAAAAGAGCCAAACAGAAATTTTCAAAGGGCAGCTTGAAAAGACAAAGTAAATAAAATATTATAATGAAATATGCAGAGCCCTTAAATTAGAAAACCAAAAGGGAAGAACACACTCAGCATTTCTCAAGCTGAAAAAAAGTGAAGAAAAAATTCAAGCCTCAGGCTGCAATATTGAAGGATGCTATGGTGTCCTGGTATGGTGCTGTGGGTTAATACGCTGGGCTGCAAAGCCAGTTTGAACCACGAGGTCAGTAGTTCAAGCTCACCAGCCACTCTTCGGAAACCCTACACAGGGTCACTGTGGGTTGGAGCCAACTCAATGGCACTTAAAAACAACAACAACATCATGGGCAAAATAGTAAATGACACAGGAAGCATCAAAAGAAAATAGAAATTTAAAAAACAGAGCGGATAGAAGCAAATACTGTTGAATGATGATGCATGAAGGGGATTGTAATCATTTCAGTGATACAATAAATGTAAAACCAATGTTCTCCCATGTAAACTATCCCTCAATTCACAATAAAAACTTTT